TCTGAACTGCAGCTCCCAGAATCCCCTAGCTATCATGGACACTTGCAATATAGCTTGTAGAAGCTGTAGTCCAAGAAGTAATTTTATTTCAAACTCTTGCGGAAGCCTTATGTTTTTTCTCCCATGAAAAGAATCCAGATAACACTTTATTTAGATTGCTCCAGTTTGTTCCTCTTTTGATTTTTGACACCCTTGCCCTTACCCCTTTCTCTGCATTTTCTCATGGCTGTTATTTCTGCAAGCCATGGCAGCTTCCCTTTTTTGGTTTAATTTACTAAGTGGCATAGCACTACATCCACCTAGCATGAATAATCCCATAGTTACACTATATATGAAATAGTGCTGTATCGCTTAGAAGAATATGAGCCTCATGGCACAGTGGCTAAACTGCTGTACTACAGCCCAAACTGTGCTCACAACCCGAGGTTCAATCCCAGGTAGCCGGCTCAAGGTTGACTCAGCCTTCTATCCTTCCAAGGTTGATAAAATTAGTACCCAGCTCGCCGGAGAAGGGGGCAATGTGTAGCCTGCATAATTAACTTGTAAATGGCCCAGAGAGTGCTTGAAGCGCTATGGGATGGTATAAAAGCAGCACAATTTTTTTTGCTTTATTTAAAAAAAAACTGAGAAGAGGAAAATAGATGGAGTTTTTCCACTTTCCTTTCTACTGTCCACTTCATACATCACAGGGTTGTTGCCAAAGAGAATGTTACCCATAGCACTATTTGGGAGTGAATTAAGCAACCACATATACTGCAGACAGGATAGTCAGGAGCACTTCCAATTGCACCAAATAAACTACAGCCCTAGCACTGTGCCGGAAAGGAGCAGAACTGCTTGCAAAAGGGGCAGGACCGGTCACTCTTATTTAAAACACATAATGTCTGGAAAATAAGCATCAGAAGTGAACCAAATAGTGAACTATATGCTCATCCGATCACTCCCAGAGTTTAGGTGTCCCAGGGTACAATTAATTGATCATTACTCTTAAGAACTGCAGTGAATGGTGGAGAAAGGTCAGATGAAGCAGAATTTAATGGAAGAAAGCCAGTATGCTGAAACAGCATATTTAACAATTTTATATCTGTTCTTTATGATTTTTTTGGTATTCTACATTCAAACAATTAGATCTCCCTCTTTATTTTATTCATAGGCAGTAATTAAATAAAAAATATGAAATAAATTTAAAATGTAAAAAAAATGTAAAAAAATTATTTCTGTACACTCGGCATAATGTTCAACATTCATTCATTAGCATTTAAAAAAAACTTGCACTGAAAGAGCTACATAGTATTTTCTGAGCCCATGAAATTTCTAGAGTATTGAAAATTAGCAGTAAGGCTAGATTTCATACTTGTATTTTCTAAACACACTGGAATTTCCATCATATCCCCTGCTCACCAGGATGGGGTTGACCTACTGATATAATCAAAGCATGTTGCTTTCCTTCATTTTTAATGGCTCACTGAAAACAGTATGGGGCATCTTCCACTTCAATGCATTCCGTTGCCTGGGACAAGAAGAACTCCATGACAAAATGCCATAGATATGGATCTCTCTCTCTTTTTGCCTTCAATGTCTTTTTCTCCATGTTATAAAGAAAAATTGTGCATGGCCAGTGGCTAAACTTGACACTGCTTACAACTGTTCATGTGGCAATGTTTCAGAATGCCAACCTTTGTACAGTAGTTTTAGTTCTGCAGCGGTTCTGTAACAAAATATCTTGTTATGATACATGACAGTTAATTTAGAAGAATGAAACACTTTGGCTGAAAACCTGTTGCATAGCTTATGCCTGCAGAAAGGTGATGATGCCATGGGCATGGGCAATTTTTAGTGATCAAAAACATCCTGCTTCTGTCCTATGGCTTATTTAAATCCCATATAATCCCCTTTCATTATGTGGATACCATGGGTTGTAAAGAGGAAGTACCTATATACCTCGCAAGATGGTTCTATAGGTATCCGCATGACGACAACGTTTTGCAGCAGCCATTTTGCTTCGCAAAACAGTGATTCCTAGGGGGGAATTTTGTTGGACGACGATTTGGTCCGTGCTTCACGAACCCTTTTTTTGCAACACAACGATTTAGAACAGCTGATAGGCGGTTCGCAAAATGGCTTCCCTAGGGACGATCCTCGCAAAACGGGTTTTTTCAGGCCCGTTTTTCACAACATGGCAATTAAAACAGTTGATTGGCAGTTCGCAAAGCGGCTTTCCTATGGCCGATCTTCGCTAGACGACGATTCTTCCCCATTGGAATGCATTAAACAGGTTTCAGTGCATTCCAGTGGGGAAATGCTTTTCGCTAGACAATGATTTCGCTAAACAGCGATTTCAGTGGAACGGAATATCATCGTCTAGCGAGGCACCACTGTATTTAATTGCCTAAAATCACTGCTACTAATGACATCAACAGCAGGGGAAGATTTTCAATAAAAGGGAAGAAGGAAAATCATAGATCTGGTGTAATGTGTTTTGATTGCACCATGGGAAGCAGTGCAAAAATGTTGTATTGCAGTCCTGTGCATGTTTACTTGGAAGTAAGCCCCACATACCTACTGCTTAGTTGTACTTAGAATTTCAGCCTCAATAATGTGAACTTTCTATGACACTTTACGATAAGAAAACCTTTAGCATTTATGTTAACATGTTCTGCTTAGGCAGAGAATCAGCCTTTCCCCATCACTTCAGTTAAAAATATTGATACCTCTTTTTGTGCCACTTTATTTATATTGTAGGTCATTCAGAGGGTTTTTGTGAAACACCTTGCTGCTACTCCCTTCTGCCCCAGCAGTAGCCAGATAATTAACATAAAGCTGAGTGGGAGATGAATATGCTTAGCAACTGTAATACAATGTGTGTTTTTGCAGCGGTAATTGCAGCCCATTGAGGAACTGAGCAGAAGCAAGTGGTAGCAGGTGGTGATGTGGACATGATGCACTTGCTGCTTTAATGTTTGTCAGTGATGTGTTTTATTATGGAAGTCAGCCTGAGCCGCAACCCTCACAGCACAATTCCCAGCTGGCTTGGAAAGTTGTTTTCTATTCTCTGCACAATTTCTACTACCGTAAAGCGATTCGACCCAGATCTTTTCCCAATATTTGCTTTTATTTGCCACAACAGTGAAAAAAAAATTCAAATTAAGGAGATGGTTTGTAATAGCCTATAATCTTAGAACTGCAAAGCTGGATAGGACCCTATAGATCATTGAGTCCAGCCACTTGTCAAGAAGGCACAGTGGGGGAAATCTCCAGCATTGCAGTTGGGTTGGAGTTAGTTCCCCAAGACTCAGCCCCGTTACCAGCATGGTCTCTGTCGAGATTCCTTGCAGTAGTGCAGTTGTGGTGTAGGCACTGGTTGTTTGGTGCTTCTCCTTGTCATCCATCCCATGTTTCCTCTTCATCCCCTTCTGAAGAACCTTCCTCATTCATTGCCTTCTCCCCCTCGGGCTTCCCTTCCACCTCTTCTAGGGTGCCTTCTGTATCACCCAGCTCCACCTCCCTTTTGCTCTTTTTCATCCAGAGATCTCTTGCCATCTTCCTCGCTGCCTACACAGTCCCTTCCTCCCCAGTTTCACCTAGTGGCGTCTTGGTCTGGATCTGATCTTGCTATTCCCAGCCTCTCTCCCCACTGGGGTTTCTGTGCTACTACTTCCCCTTGGGGACTGGGCTGAGGCTAAACAGCCCACCAAGAGCCCCAAGACTGGTGTCCTTCTCACACTTTGTTAAGTTCAATACAATATCGGCTTCAGTTTTGTGCCTGTTTTAGCCTTTCTAGCCAGGGAGTGTAATGAAGAACATGTGGCACACTTCATTCCAGATGTGAAATTGTATGAAAATTGAGGCCTTAAGGTTTTAAGGCAACTTACAGGAACATTTTGCTAGAAAGAAAATAAGTTTTATGCAAAGGAAACAGGAAAAAGAAGATGGTTGTGGCTTTGGTGGATTCTATAACCTTTGTGAGTTTGCTGAAGAGCTTGCAGAGCTATTTAACATATATGAGCTAAAGTATGCTGTAAAGTAAGGTTTTATTCATCACTATTAGTTCAATTAGACTTAAGTATTTATTTGCAGCACTCTAATTTTGGAGGACAAAGGAAGAAAGAAAAAGAGTAATGGTAGAGTGGCCAGGTACAAAAGTAGATGAGCTTCTTGTAGCATCTGTGCAGAAGATGGGATTCATTAATTACTCACATGTAATCTTTTAAATATTGCAGTATCCATTGTATTTCATGTACGTTGTTGGAAAAAAATTCACAACAGCTTCATACATTAGATGAAGATTCTTATTTATATAATGCTATCTTGTTTTGTGGTAAGGAAGACATGGACTCTGGGCTTGCTTAGTCTTCTGTAGCTTCTGTCTCAGGGGTATGAATAGTACCCGGTGGGCTAGAATTGTAAACTGAGGGCTGCCAATAGCTGGAGCCTGCCAGCTGGAGCTATTTTTCCATGTGAAAAAAATTTTTTGTCTTAAATGTGCTGTCTTTTTCTTTTTTGTATTGGTTTGTTTTGTTCCTTCCTTCCTTCCTTCCTTCCTTCCTTCCTTTTTCTTTCTTTCTTTCTTTCTTTCTTTCTTTCTTTCTTTCTTTCTTTCTTTCTTTCTTTCTTTCTTTCTTTCTTTCTTTCTTTCTTTCTTTCTTTCTTTCTTTCTTTCTTTCTTTCTTTTCTTAAAACATTAGCACAGGTATCCCTCTTAAAAGTGTTCTTTTAGAAAGAAATTGTTAAACAAAATGCTTTAAAATTTTCTTAAGCTTATGTTGTCCACGGGAGAAAATATCTTTCAGAAGTGTGGGAATCACCTTCCCAGATTACCTTGGCTTTTTTCACAATGTTATACAAAGGGCAAGTGTTACTATTAATACCTAGCTTTTGTCAGCACAGTGTGAACTTGGCTTAGTAACAGAACTGTTCTCCCTGGCGAAGGGAAATCGTGCACCTTCATGTCACTGACATACCCTCCTCTCCCCTTTCTTCTTTCACTGTTGGAAACACAGCTGAAGAGGTGGAGAGGCTGGCTGCCATGCGCTCGGACTCGCTGGTTCCAGGGACACACACTCCTCCAATTAGGAGGAGAAGCAAGTTTGCTACCCTAGGAAGAATCTTCAAGCCATGGAAGTGGAGGAAGAAGAAGAGTGAGAAGTTCAAGCACACGTCTGCAGGTAAAACCGCAGTCCCGCTCTCGAGGGTGGGCTGCATTTTACTTTTAATATTAGATCTTGAAACCAAGCTTTGGCTGGGATGAAGAATTGTTGGCACACATGCAAGACTCTTGTGTGACATTGTAGTTTTGAGGGGCATAGCTTAATTAATCCCACTTGTGTGCTAAAATGTCAGATTCAAATCACAATAAGCTCCATGGAGGTATGACTTAAAGCAGTGAAAATATAAGCAGACTCTTGCAAATATACAGAAATCTATTAAAACAGTTCCCACTTCCAGTAAGTACCTCAGGGATGGAAGGCTCTCCTTCAACAGAAACCATTACAAGAAATATATTGGCTGGAGTTCAGTGTACTGCTTTCCTTGACTAATAATATAAAGAATCAATGTAAAAGTTAGACAGAAATATATGTCTGAGAAAAGGGTACATCATCCCACACAGTTGATGGCCAACACTTCCTTTCTGAAATAATTAGTAACTACACTCTTACTGCAGTAAATATATAACTGAAAATCATAAAATGTTTACTACCATAACTGAAGCTGAAAGAACACGGTACATCACTGTTATTGATACAGTGGTGCCTCGCTAGACAGTTACCCCGCATGACAGTTTTTTCACTAGACATTGGCTTTTTGTGATCGCTATAGTGATTTGCAAAACAGGGATTCCTGTGGGGGAATTTTGCTGGACAATGTTTGGTCCCTGCTTCGCAAACCGATTTTTGCTAGACGACGATTTTGACAGCTCCCTCCGTGCTCGCAAACAGGTGTTTTCGGGACCTAAGCTTCGCAAGACAGCGATTTTAACAGCTGATTGGCGGTTTACAAAGCGGCTGTCCTATGGCCGATCTTCGCTAGACATCGACGATTCTTCCCCATTGGAACACATTAAACAGGTTTGAATGCATTCCAATGGGGAAATGCTTCTCGCTAGACAATGATTTCACTTGACAGCGATTTCAGTGGAACGGATTATCATTGTCTAGCGAGGCACCACTGTACTGTCGAAGGACCCTAGTAGTAAACATTTGCTACTTGAATACAGTCTGTTGAGGGACTGCTCTATGGAGCAGAGGTGGGCAACCTTTTCAAGCCAAAGAGTTAACTGCTGGGGCTGGGTAGTGAATTGTTGCCACACATATTTGTGGGTGGGTGCTCACAAATATGTACCAATGGAAAAACAGCAAAGTCAGGGAGAAGGTTGAAATCCCCAACAGCTGCAGCTGAGATTGCTGCTTTCTACTTGGTATTATCAGCAGGGAGACATCTATTTCAGCTGCAGTTTCCCCTCCTTCCTAGCAATCCTCCTGATCCAAATTACTATTTCCTTTTTGGTAATATCAGCGTGGCAACAGTAATCTTAGCAACACTTGGTGGTGGTGGTGATGGTGGTGAATTAAATGTTCTGTTGCCTGTAAAAGAACTTCTGCAAGGAAGTACCCAGTACTTACTCAAGCAGAATTCCTGTTAATGTCAGTGGATACTTTTCTATAATTTCCACATAAAAAACTGAAATCTCACAGAGCCACACACAGAGAACATTACACTGTGCCCATATGGAAACAAAATATTGGCCTTATTTTTAAAAAATCATTGTTGTAGTTTAGAACTGGTGTGGCAGAAGGTAAATGCATGGGAAGCTTAAAGCACAGAAGATATAAGAAAATGTATTTCTTTTCTGAAAATTGCAGCTTTCTGTTTGTGTATGTTTAACATCTTGTGTGTGTTTATGATCCTGGAGCATATGCATTGATCTTTTGACAGGTAGATGGTTGCTGCTGTGCTGCTCATTTTTCACCGTTACACAAGGGAAAGTACATTCTCGGTGTACGTTTTGTGAAGTGCAGATCCCATAATTCTCCATAATTCTTTGGGAGTTTAATCTAACACAATCATGACTACAAACACCCAAGTGTGGTTCATCTGGAGGAAAGTCCTAGCTGGGAATATGTCGTGGCCTAGCTTCACCCTGGCTTCCTGTTCAGAAAGGAAGCTGCCTCACTGCTAGTTGGGAGCTTCCTTTCTAAACAAGGAGCTAGGCCATGAAGCTTGGCCTTCCCTTCAGATGAACCACATCTACTGTAGGCATCTGTAGTTGTGCATCTGTCAGATGGAAAATCGAGAATGGATAATTATGTAATCCAAAGAAACCCAAATATCCTATGCACGGCCATAGTTCTCAAAGTTGCCACAAGTTTATTCTATTGCAAATTAAGTTTGATACCAGCAGGACTTAAATGCAACCTTTCATGATTATTTAATCTTTAATTGTCAGTTGGTTTGGATGCTAAATGTTGACATAATGTGTAATGGATTAAAATCAGTCAGTTTGGATACCAATAATTAATTAAGGGCTGAATTTGACAAAATGGATCTGAGTGACTGTGGCTGAAAATTCTGCAATGAATGTTTACAATACAGTAATGTATGAATATAAAAGAAACATAGATTTTGTTGTTGCTGTTGCTAGATTGTTCTCATGTTTGTTTTAACTGGTCCCCACCCCCTTTTTAAATATCATATTAACTCCTCCCCTTAGGCCAACCTCTTCCCCCCCTTTGGCACTTGGGCACAATCAATCTGGAAATGATTCCTGGCCTCATGGCAGTTGCCCACACCTGATCTAAAAAGCTGGCATTTGAACTTGCTTGTTTTCCTCTTTCCTCCCTGTCCTCCCTATCCACCTTTTTATACTACATCTTGTTAGGTAGTAAATTCTTATTTTAAATTATAACCCCTCTTGAATGCAGTGGCACTTGGGCATTGCAATACTGTATAAGAAATAAACAACAGCCTCCTTTTCCACATTAATACATCAAACGCTACTTGGAAGTCCCTTGTGAAAGCTGCAGACTTTGAATCTGCTGCAATTATATTTGTGCTCTCTTACAAACATAAATTCATTTATTCATACTGGGGCTTAATTTCACTTTTGTTTCAGCTTTATTGATTGTTTTTCCTTCCTTTAGCTTCACTATGGAGAAGCTATTGTTGTCAGAGCAATACATCTGTGCAAAAACAGGTTGCCTGAATGGAATTCTGTTTCATACTGTGTTATGATAACTGAGACCAGGACTACGTTCACATCTGATATCTGGAATCTCAATTTAGTTAGCACCACTATAATTTGCAAATAAAATCAAAAGCAACCCCAGGAGATGCTGTGATGAGAGCTAGCATGTATCTATGGCTAATCCTTTGGTATACTGATAAATGTCTTTAGAAAAATATAACTTCTATCAGTCTCCTTGGGTAATGCACTCAGGTTTTTCCACCATGAAGTAACTTAAAAATCAAGGCAAGGAAAACAAATAGAGTTTGTGGTTTCAAGCAGTCAGCTTGAATTTGTTTGATGGTCATATTGGAACAATGTATTCTGCTTCTCTAACTCATCCATGGTTATAATTAGAGATGGGGGTATTCGTATTTGCATACGAATACGAATATTCCCACACAGGTGGTCCACTCACCGATCCACACAGACAGCGCGATTCTATGAATGGCTCTGCAGCATGCAATCTACTCGCCACTCTTCAACCTTGCAACGAGGCTTGTCCTCCCACCTCCTGCCAGGAGTGGTGGCAGGATTGCACGCTGCAGAGCCATTCATAGAATCGCGCCATCCGCATCTGCGGCAGATCGGTGAGTAGACCATCCAGCCGCATGGGGCTGAACCCTCGTTAACGCCACCTGTGCAGGGATATTCATATTGTATACGAATACCCCTATCTCTAGTTACAATGTTCATATATATGAACCAGACTTAGAACTCTAAAGCAAGTTTCACACCATCTAACAATTATAGTGTGCTTTTAAACAAATATCTGTTGTTGTTACATGTCATCGAGTCACCCGTGACTTATTTGTTTATTTATTCACCACTCCATTAGTGTTATGCACAGTTCTGGTTGAACAGACAACAAATGACTACCCTATGAATCTCCATAAATTCCTGTTCCGAACAGCTCTGTCCAACTCTTGTAAACAAAACCTATGGCTTCCTTTAGAGAGTCAATCCATCTTGTGTTTGGTCTTCCTCTTTTTCTGCTGCCTTTAACTTTTCCTAGATTTCTAGAGAATCTTGGTTTCTCATGATGTTCCCCAAGTAGGACAGTCTCAAGTTTCAAAATTTTTGCTTCCAGATATAGTTCAGGCTGGATTTGATCTAGGTCCCATGTGTTCATCTTTCTGGCAGTCCAGGGTATTAGCAAAGTTCTCTTCCAGTACTATATTGGAAACAAATCATTTTTCCCCTGTCAGCTTTCTTTACTGTCCAGCTTTCACACATGTACATACCAACTGGGAATGCAATAGTGTGGATGGTTTTGGTTTTGGTGTCCAGTGACACATTCTAACACTTGCTGATCTTTTCTAATTTCTTCATATCTGTCTTTCTGAGTCTCAGTCTTCTAACTTTGTGGCTGCAGTCTCCACTTGAACTGATGATTGAAACAAGGAATACAAAATCTCGAACAATTTCAATTTCTTCATTTTCAAAACTTGTATAGTTCTTTTGTATTCATGATTTTTTTACTTCCTGCTCAACAGCAATCCTGCTTTGGCATTTTCTACTTTCACTTTCATTAAAAATTGTTTCAAGTCATTGTTTCTTTCTGCCTGTAAAATTGTGTCATCTGTGTGTCTTAAGTTATTGATGTTTCTTCCATCAATTTTCACTCCTCCTTCATTTGAATCTAGTATGGTTTTTTATATGTGTTCTGCATACAGATTGAACAGGGACAAAATGCACCCTTAGCTGACTCCATTGCCTATAGGAAACCATTCCATCTTTCCACATTCTGTTCTAATACTAGCTTCTTGTCCACAATATACTGTAGGTTATGCTTCAGGACAATGTAGTGCTGAGGCACACCTCTTTCTTTCAGAGCAATCAATACCTTCTCAAGATCCATACAATCAAAGGCGTTAAAACATAGACCGATCTTCTGAAATTCTGGCCATCCAATAGTCAGTGGATATTTGCAATCTGAACTTG